CCAGTAATGCTGCAGGACCTAGGTTTTAAAATATTTTTCTGACAACTTAGGCGCGGAATTCCGTCTCTCCGTTTAAGTGGTCATTTATTTAGTCTTAATGAGCCGCGAAGTAAGACTCTTAATTACTTTGATTTTCCCATCCTCAGACTTCTTTGATGCCAAAAAAGTAGTTTGTTTCGTAATATCTGAGGTGCGTTAATATTTTAAGTTGTTTACCTTGTACTGTTGCTATGCTTTTATGCTAGATTTCAAAATTAGCCTTCCGGACATAAATTAGACGTTAAACTCAGGAAAGCTAAGACTTTAACTATGATTAACAGGGTACGTGATTGCTCTTTTAGAAATGGGAACTTGAACTTCCCAACTGTTTGCACTTCATTCCTATCCCCATCTAGGATTGACGTTTAAACACAGTGCAGATTCGTGTTTTCCTGAAAACCAAAGTCTAAAACTCCGTCGTAGAAACAAAAACTGATTCCAGGTGGAGTAACGCGGCGTAGCTTTCTTGCTACAGTGTTACCCGTGCAACCAAGTCAAGAGAAAGACGCAAAATCAGGACCTTTCGCCGAACTGCGAACTATGGGATCATAACCTTGGAAAGATATGGTTGTCACCATATTTTTCGGCTTCATGCTTTTAAGAGCAAAACCGGCCTTTATGGCTTCATTTCTCACTTCCCAGACGAAGACGAACATTGTCATGATTTGATTAACGCTTTGTGTATGCGTTCTGATTGCTTGCTCTCCTTTCCGTGTCACATATGATCAAACATCATCTGTATCAACAAAAGTGGTAAGCCTAATTCCGTTTAATCTTTCAAATGTGACTGAGAGCGAACTTGAAACTGATTGAATAGGAAGCGGCTTCTTGTAGTTTGCAAGAAAGATTTGATTTATGTTGACAAGATGTCATTGTCCACTCCCTAAGTGAGTGATGTTTTGCAGGGTCTTTTGACAGCCCTTCGGCAGGAGGTTAGTCGAGCACACGCTGGCTGGTCGCTTGAGTTTATCAGACTGGAGATAACAGTGACGAAGCGCCTGTATGAAGACGTCACCGAGGCACCGAGAGAGGGTCTGTACATCCACGGTCTCTTCCTCCAAGCCGCCTCGTGGGACAGACGCAGTAGTCGTATCATCGAACCCCGCCCTAAGCAACTTTTCGATCCCGTGCCTGTCATCCACGTCACCACGAGGTATGAACTCACGCCAGAGGAGATGCGTTTTCAGCAGCAGAAGGTCATCGACGAGAATGCTGTGCTTCTTGTACAGCAGAACAACAGCTCTATTGTCCACAGGCCTGGCTCTCGCCTTGTATGTTTTTGAAATCAGTACGAGCGCTGCTAGTTGCAATATTTAAGTTATTTGTATTTTACCCGCGTATTCATATTATTCTCAAGTGTAACTCCTTCTTTTTGTCATATTTTATGAAAACCTAAATTCCTTTTTTGAATACAAGACTGAATTTTACTCCGGTGAGAGCCATTTTATTTGCTCCACCAAGGCTATGTCTTGGTAATAACTTTGTATAATAAGGTATATCGAGCTTTATCATCCAAAAGGAAGCCCAAATCGCAGATGTCTTACTAACTATGGACAAATTGCGAGCCTAGATGGTTAAGTTCTAAAGTGTGGAAACAACTTTGAATACTTACCCTTCTTTCCCTTTTTCGTAATGCCCCAAAGATGTTTGTATCTCAGTGCTGCACAAGTCATGTCTGGATGGATGTAAGATCACAACGATATTTCGCCTGCTTTATTTTTATTTAATCCGGCGATTGCATCTCAACTACTTCAAGCGGCATTTCTGCGAAAAGCAGTCACCCACACACTTATAATTCAATGGAAGTGCCGAATGAGTAGTGCTTAATCAGTTCTAAAACAAATTTCGTCTTAAAATTTAACAAAGCAGGATAGTGTTTCAATCGTATGTGCTTGTTTTATCCATTCATTGTGCTCATCATTTGCGGGCATTGAATCAGATTTGTTCTGCAGTTGGGACATGAATTTTATGCACGACTCACAGTAGTCAGGTAGACCCACGATTGCATCGACGCTGTTTCACTGGTCATTTCATTCATATTAAGAACAATAATTTATTTGCCTTTTCGTCGCTTTTCGTCGCACGCATACGTGAAATTAAATCTCGCAAGCCATTGAAACTAAGGTCACAAAGGCCAATAATATTGCCAAAGTTTTAATATGTTTTAACTCAGCTCCAAAGCAGAATTTTAAGTAACATTTTTAAAGTTGTTAATGTCATTTAATTTGCAAAAAATAACGTGAGCACTTCAAAGATACCAGTTTTGGAATTGTGCCCCTTTTGCTGATTTATAGGCACAACAAGAGGCGTCCAACACATCCATTGAAAAACTGGATATTCCAGTGTATAAGAAGGCACGGAGGACTACAAAGAACTTTATCACTCGTTTCACAATCCCCTGTTCAAAAACAGCAGATCACTGGAAAATGCGGGGCGTGGCACTGCTCTGCGATGTACACTAGAAAAAGTGGCGCTTTTTGTTAGTCCATCCAAGTAATTTTGTACCTCTTACTGTTTGTAATAGTTTGGTTATTTTCTTTGACTCCCCCGTTCTCCTGCTGGCCCTGAGATGAGGAGAGAGGGATGATGATGGGAAGCTCAGGGGCACTATGCCAAGGATAAGTATGAGGTTTTGTGAACTTAAGTAATAAAAAAATGACACCCGTAGCCTACATATGAGTTCACGATTCAACGATTTGTGTAATACAACCGACGGGGACATCAAATTTACCAAATTCATATTCATCACTCAGTGTGCACTCTCACGGTCTTTTTTCCAACTAATCCTATTTAAATGAGATGAAGAAAATTTTGCTCAACCGTCAGTTGATTTTGGTCTGGGTGACAGTGTTAACGTCTCGTCTCTCGATACCCTCCTCCTTCCAAGCTCAAAAGGATAGACAAACAGCACGGCCCTTGATCTCATTTTTGCGGGCGAAAAAAATCTCTTAAGCCAAATGTGCTATTTTGATAATCGCCACACAGACGAAAAATTGAAGCTCTGATAGCTCATTTGTTGGCACAGCTACCTGACGGTCGGTGTGATCTAATGGGTAACCATCTGTGTTTTGACGGCGCTCTCTCTCTCGAGAGTGAGTGTTTGAGTGGGCACATCGACACGCCCCGTTTGATTCGGCGGGTTTGAAGAAGAGGAGGAGGAGGGGGCGTGATGATACGGTTATGTGTATGTCTGTTCAAACAGCACAAGAAAAAGTGTCTAGCTTGCACTTGAACGAAGGCCATTTCGATACCGGGCCTGGCGGAAGGGAGGGGCGAGGGCAGAGCTGAGAGAAGAGGAATGGCAACGAGTGACTGCGTCAGGGGCAGGAGATGGAAAAGATGAACAAATTTAACTAGCAGGGGAGGTGAGTTTAAGCGGTAAGTCGATAAGGAGGCCCTAACAGTCACTCGAGTGCTATTTACTGGTAAAAAAATGCCGTCTCATCCTTCACTAGTCCTAATTTTACTTTGATGGCCACAGCAG